GCAGAAGACCGCCAAATACTTTTTGCGCTGAGAATGAAAGTTTCTAGGTCCCCGACTCTGCAAAAGAGGATGGGTGCCTGAACCTGTGCGATATTATAGCACCCAGGAATGCCCATTCTTGGCACGAAAAGAATTTCCAAGCCAAATCTCCTCTCCCTTCCTCAAAGGCAAAGAAACAGAGAAACAAGAGGGAGAGACAGATGTTTGCAAGGTAAGTGAATCCTTGTGGAAGGAAGGGAGGGAGAAGCATGAGGTATCTTAGTGGGTTGGGGAGGCCTTGAGGATCTGTTCAATCATTACCCCCTCCCCAGCCCCCATGGCCCTTCTCACCCTGAGATACTTCATGTGCATTTAACGAATGGCACATTGGTATTCTTGAATTGTGAGCTCTTAGGAAAGTATGATCCCCTCCTTGTATATTGCAAACAGCTATTTCCAGCGGGGAAAATATTTTCCTTTGCTATAATTCCAGTCTGAATTAGACCTTTCAGGGTCCCTATAGGAGAGCCTTTTTAAGGATTATGTATTAATTGAAAAGCAACTAACTTACATCTGTTCTTAAACGCTAAAGCTGTTGCACATAAAAAAACAGAGGAGCTCTGATCAGCTATCAGAGTCATCATTTTGACAGTTTTGCTGCACTGTTGTCTGTAGACGCCCCCACTAAATGCAAGCATGGGATAAACTGAGCCTGGTTTGCTCTCAGTCTTATAAATGGCCACAATCTACTAGCAAAAGTGGCATATGATTAAAGGCGAGGAGGCATCGAGAAATGTTTCCCCGTTTGCATTTGAGCTTCCAAGAAGGGACAGGAAGGACAAAGAAAAAGAAGGAAAGAGGGGAAGAAAGCAAGGAAAGAAAAAGAAGGAAAAAAGGGAAGGAAGAAGAAAGAAAAATGAAGAGGTCAGGAAAAATAAGAAAAAGGGGGAAAGGAAGGAAGGAGATTATAATGAGAGTGAGGGTTTGAGGTAAATCCTGCCTTAGCACTTGGCCACCAGTAGCCCTGCTGCCTTTTGCCATCCTCTTGTCCCTTCCTCTTGACTCTCCTGGTGGTTCCCACCCTATCACTGAGGATGTTTGGGTTACAAAGACAGGTCTCCTCGTAAGGAGAGGGAGTGGGCTGTACCCTAACACTAAGCCTAACCCACCCTACAGCAATCAAAATGCCAAATCCTAACCCCCACCCCAGAGCAACCACAATTCCTTCACTAACCTTTCCAGCTCTGTTCTCCAGAACAACAAAGGAAGTTTGTGGAACTAAAAAAAAAAAAAAGAAGCAATCACTTTCCAACTTCTCAGGGGGAAAAAAGATATTGCGAAGTTGGAAGGTCTGATTGAACTTTTTTTTTTAGCAGTCGTCCCACAGTCTTCTTTTGTTGCCCTGCACGCAGTGGCAGAGCTGGAAAGCAGATTAGTGAAGGGATGCTTTAGGTGAGAACTGGAATGCAGGTGGCAAGGCAAACACCCCGCCCAAGGCTCCAGGCAATCAGTTGTGGAATGGAAGCGGCAGCAGGAGGTGCCTTGTTGGCTGCTGCCGCCAAGTGAGATGGGAAAGGGGCTGCTCCAACTGCTGTCGCCTCACTCCACTAGCATCAGGCCTCTGAAGGCTGGGCAGCCAAGGATACTGTTGGGGCTTCATCCTCCACCCCTCTACCTCACTTCGTTATCCATCCCCACTGCCTTGCTTAGTGGCCGCGCCACCGGTGCATTGCTCAGCCTCCTGCTTCGTTGTGGCAGCAAGAAGCTTCATTCTCCACCCCCTGCCTCACTTTGTCCTCCACACATCCCCACCACCTCACTTAAGTGATCATGGCACCGGTGCAATGCTCAGCCTCCTGCTCTGTTGCAGCAGTAATGAGAAGAAGCCACAATCTGCATGGAGCTGATGGCGCCACCGTCGCAAGGCCAGGCAGTTGTTGGCACATTGATAGCCTAGCAGTGGGGCCCTCTGGTTTAGTGGCCATGGCACCAGTGCATTGGTTCGTCCTCCATCATACCCCATTGCCTACTGCTCCATTGTAGCCACAAAAAAAGTAAGACCTCCCCCAAAATAAGCCCTGGTCTTATTTTGGGGGAAACACGGTATAAAATCTGTACTGATCTTGGAAGAATAACTGTAATTTTTTTATTGCAATGGCTGTACAACACAGATTGCTTTCTTTTCTTAGTTTGGCTGTCTTTATTTAAGAGAGGGAAAATATGTTGAACATAGTACGAAACTCATTTTCCAAGTTACTGAGTTAATTTGGTCTTCCAGGATGGCCTGAACACAATGTATTTTTTTACCTCACTATCAACTGCACCATTCTTATCCTGATGGGGAGCTTCATAGGCATCCATTTGTTGCTTAGAAACTTTAGCCAATTTCTCAGCAAGTTCTCTCCAGCGCTGAGACACTTCTACAGCTGTAGTCAGAAGAACAAAATCCTGAATTAGCTTGACAACCAAGCCTTGACAGTCCATTTTCAATAATGCCTGAGAAAAGAGAAAAAAACTAGATTATTCATTGAAGTTCTGGACAATTTGCTGTAATTTGGTAGCTGGTTCCAAGGAAGAATTTTTCAAGAGAGGGTATACTACTGCCCATTTCAGAGTAGACAACATTATAATCTTCTGTAAGGAAAGACTGGTAATGTGTTGGAACTGTGGTGGTGCAATAGTTAGAATGCAGTATTTCAAGCTAATTCTGCCCACATCCAGGAGTTTGATCCTGACTGGTTCAAGATTGACTAATTCTTCAACCTTCCATTCTTCTGAGGGCAGTAAAATGAAGACCCAGATTGTTTGGGGAATATGCTGACATTATGAACTGGCTAGAGAGTGCTCTTTCTATTGGAACTAGTAACTCAAGCCATGCTTGGCCATCCCAAGAAGGCACACAGGGACATAGACTAAGCTTGCATATGGCAAAATTCAAATTATAGAGGGTTCTATCCACCTGTTTATTCTCCACAAATTGCAAAGAATCCTAAACTGTGATGCAAAACACTGCCTCACTCACCCCATTAGACTCTGGTGTCCAATCAAGAATGTGAAATGGTTACATAATCTAGCAAAAAAATGCAAATAAATAAATTATGCCTTCAGGGACTTCCCCAAAAGGTTCTGGATTTGAACAGGGCTGCTGAACAAGAATCTGCAGATTTAATATATACAGCCAATTTAATTTTATCCAATTTATATAGTTTACTAATTACACAGACACACAAACAGTAAACATAGAGAACTGATACTTTGCTATTCATATTGCTGTTGTGCAAGCTAAAGTTGTACCAGGTTTGACTGGTACAAATGATGGGCTGGGGAAAATGTACCTTGAACTGGTATTTGTTATACAGCCTATAACATCGTACATACATACAAATTACTTTGATGAAGGTGCTTTTTAGAAACAAGTGCCAGGTTTTTTTGCAGATCAGCAACCTGGAACACTTGAAGGAACTGATATAGTCCTTAGATAACTGGTAAACACAATTCTGTCATGTCACAAATTACTTTGTATATTCTTCAGAAGTGGCATTATTATCCAGCTATAGGACAAGTAGTCCTCTTTTAGCAATTACTTCATTTTGTTCAGTTACTCATCAAGGTAAGTTGCTAGAAATCAACCTTGATTAGAAGACACAAAAAGGTGCCATACAGTACTTTTTGATTTGACTAGTCAGTCAAATTCTTGTTGATGATACTGTTCAAAGGGCAGCTGGTATATTTTAGGAAAAGTATCAGGAAAAGTATAACCAAATGCTTAATATGTTCTTTATAAAAAAAAACCCTGTTCTTTTTAGCTGAATTGTTTTAGAAGCAAGCAGCAGATGCTGCCTTGGTTGCTGGAACTTATATTCATAGTTAAACGCTACATAGACACTGCTAAAACCCAGTTATTAATTCCTCCTTAACTTGGGGGTGTCAAACATGCAGCCTGTGAGCCAGATGTGTCATGCTCCAGCCACGCCCATCCCCATTTTAGTGAAGGGGAGAAAGTTGTGATATGTCACAAGATGACAACGTGACACCACGAGTTTGACACCCCTGATTTAACTGCACTATTAAACCAAAAGAGGCTAAAACAACGGGCAGTGAAATTACTTACCGACATCAGTTCTTTCTGGAAAGATTTTTTATCTTTACCTTCTGAATTATTACAGTCCTCTTTCAACTTCTCCAACACAGAAGCAACACATTCTGGTTCACTGTCCAATTCTGCTCGACAGAAAAAAGCAAGTGGCAAGTTCCGATATCCCAGAGCATCTGCAAAGGCACGCCAGCTGCTAATATTTTCCATCAGTAAAGTCCTTACTGAAGCATAGATATAGGTAAGAAATTTGCAAGGTCTTAGAATTTGCTCCAGCAATATACTTGTAGTAAGCTCAGGTCCAAAGAAATAATTTGGTTTGACTTTTCCAACAATTAAAACATTTTTAGTATGGACTAGGCCAATTTTACCACGATAGTATCCAATGTACCATTCCTTGGTCCAGAGCTGACCTTTCAATCTGATTTTCTCCTCACTCAGCAAAGCTAAAGCATCTCCTTTCTTATACTCCAGGAGATAATGGTTTTTATTTTGCCTCACTACAGTTTTCAGCATTTTGCCATATTTTAAACCAGTGACAGTCCGATCTTGGAAAACAGGATATTTGCTGGTGGTTGCAAGAGGAGACAAAATTATTTTCCCAATTTCATTTTTTTTCAGAAATCTTCGCTGCCCAATGCACCTAGCAGCATTTTTAAGAGGTGGCTGAGGTGTCTGTACACAGAACTGAGCAAGCATAATATCTTTGTCATCTTTGACTTGAATTCTTAAAGTAAAATCGGACAGCTCATTAGGGTCATGTGATATGATGTGGAAAATGAGGCGACTGACTTTGCCAAGCTTCATTTGGAATCCTCTAACCATCTTTGCCTGATCACTCGCTTTCACCTCATAATTAGGCATATTTGAAAACATGCAAAGTTTTAAGTCTTGTGGCCTTCGTAAGAAGAACTGGTGCTTTCCCCACAAATGCAGCATTACAGGTGCTGCACTATGTACTTGACGTGTAACTTCATTAACTATAAGACTCTTTGGGGCACAGTCATGTCCAAATACAGCAACTACAGTTTTAAATGAAGGATGTATGTGTTTTGGACCATAGACCCCAACTGTAATTTTTTTATTGATATAATCCCAAACCGTGTAAGGATATGAAATGTTCTGTCCATGGGCTACAATAGCTATATACATGCAGGGCTCCAGGTTCTCCAACTGAACCTTGATTGTGCCTCCATAACAGTAGCTTAGCGCCATTGGAGTATATGGGCCTTCCTTCACATCACTCCTCAGGCACCTTACTGTTACTAAATTCTTGCTCAAAACGTCACTGTTAATTTCTGCTGAAATTTTCATTTCCAATATAATGGGTGTTCTGATTTCCATGTTGCTCAGCTTAATTTCTAGCACAGGACTTAGGGTACTGCATTTGTCACTGTTGAGTTCTAATGGTGGATCCAATAGAGCTTTCATAGAGATCTGTTGTGCATCTCCATCAGCCACATGTCCTTCGGGTACATGAATATTAATATTTGTATCTGGAAGCTGAACTGCACCACCTGAACTATCCAATTTGCAAACTATGTTGGTCTCCACAGGTTGTGTCTGACCCCAACCAGGGTTCTGACCCAGCAAATCCAAGTCATGGCATGATCTTGCTAGTTTCCGATGATTTAGCCATGCAACCCTGAAATCTTCTCTACTTTGGAATTGCTCTGGGGTAGGAGATTTCAATCCGCTAAAGAAACCTGATGAAGATGGACTTTCTGATTTTGCCTGAAGTATAGAGAGCTCTGATAAACTGTATGAGCGTTTGCTTCTAAAAAAAGGATTGTCTCGTCTGTTTGCTTTCTCAAAATCAAATCCATTCAATGATGGCACTTTGTCAAGATTATTACCTGCACTGCTATTTGCTGCAGAACTTGACCCTGTAAGTGTAGGCACTGTATCAAAGAGTAACAAATCCATTGTGATTTGGGGGGAACCCTCTTCGCTCTTTTTTGACATTTCTTTCATATTTCCATCCAGAAAATGGTTAGTAGTTTGAATACTGTTCAAAAAAGGATTGTTCTTAGCTAAGTTCCACTTTGCATCTGACCAGTCTCCAAGCAGATCCAACTCTTTTGCTCCTTCATCAGAACATTCAAGGAGATAGTCTATCATTCCACTGTCAGTTAATGAAGAGTTCCAATAGTTTATGGGCTGTACGTAGGAGGATGGAATATAGCCCATTTCTGTGGTATTGTGTGCATACCACCACTCACCTCCTGAGGTATCTAAGATATAGAGATGGTCCCCCTTGGAAAACTTCAATGTAGTAAAGTTGCTTGGACAATAGTCTTTAATAGCTACAACTTCCTTTGCAGTTCCCAATGAAGTAAGACTATCTGTCATCAAGGCACCAGGAGAAGGCACTACAAAGAAAAACTAAAAATAAGGAATGGCAAATGACATAATCAATACATACTACACAAGTTATAAACAATGAAGTGCTCCTATTAAATTAGGGTGCAAAACTGAAGGCACAAAGGCTCCATGTGAAACTTGAAAAACCTGGATGTACCTCCCCAAATCCCTCTCAAGATTATCATTAAATTGTACTTGATATTTTATTACAAAAGATATATACAGGGATAATCACATTAATTTTCACGTAATTTAAATTAACTAACAATACATTTGTCACCATTCTGTTTAGTTTCCCCCCGCTTTTTTCCCCCAAATGTACCCCCTGGCAAAATAAAATGCAAATTAGCCCCAAACCTTGAGATTTTATAACCATATGATAATAATTATTATCTACAAATTTCTTCAGTGGGGTTTAGAAGCAAGCATGCAGCTCTCTGAAGATACTTTAAACTCCTGACTCATTTTTGTTAATGTGTGAAAAAATTCTTACTGTCCAAGAATTGTAGAAGATTATCTAGTTATCAGATTATACTCAACTATCCATTCACTGAATTCAATAAGAAAGACTTCTGAATAGGAACAAACAAGATCTTTCACTTGGAAAATTATGCACAATTTGTGATGAATCAGATGAAATTTTGATATGAAATGAAGACATCAAAGGAAAAATAAGACTGCCTTAGCCAGAAAATGATTCTAAGCTACACTAGCCATGTATGTATTTCTAAATACCAACTAACAGTGATTTTGATATAGGCATTGGATTAGACTGAGAAACTGTCATAGAGATGAAGTCATGTGGGTCACTTTGGGGCAGTCACATTATCTCAGGCCTAGGAATGGCAACCTGCATAGATTTCTCCAGTCAGTCATCAGGAATAAGAGACTAGAGACAGAACTACAAAAAGAACCACATAAAAAGAATTTAAAAAGTCAAATGGAATTAATAAAGCATAAGTTAAATATAATAGATAAAGAAGAATTAGCACAAAAAATTAAAAATGCTAAACAAAATTTCTTTGAAATAAACCAGGAAGATGGCTGGAATACAAATTGAAAAAGGAGGAAAAAAAATTGATACATCAGTTAATGGATGAGGAAGGAAATTTTCACCATCAAAATAATGACAAAAAGAAAGTGATTCAAAATTATTATGGAAAATTATATAACCAAGAGAAGTCTCAGAAGACAAAATAAAACAATACTTTTAAAAAGCAGAATTACCTAAAATACTTGAAACAGTGAAAGCTTGATGACATTTTGGGCAACATTTTGGGGACAGATACACCAACCTACAACTTTCCCCTCTTCATTTACAAAGCCGTGTTGGAGTAGCATGACTAGAATATAGTCATATTCCCCCACTGGAAAGAGATTCAACTAGAACAATCAGATCAGAGAAAGTTAACCCACCATACCCTCATACTTCTAGACATCCATAGATTAACCATGTCTTCTAACTGGCTGGTTTGGTCACGTCTTGACCTTTCCACAGTAACTGTTCAGGTTAGCTCCCATTAACCCTACACAAGCCCTTTATATAAAAGGAAGGACAAAGAGAGAGGTAAGAAAAAAAGGCAATCATGATGGATGTGGAAATGGCAGTGCAGCCGCCGCCAAGATTTGTCCCAATTGGGGACAAGAGGGTAAGCAACCTGAATTGGGTAAAAAAAAGGAACTGAGAAGAAAGGGAAGACTTTTCTCTCTTTCTCTATCCCTATCGTAAATGTTTGCTTTTAGCAGCAAAGCTGTTCAAACTTGTTTGGAGCTCAGGTTTAAAACTGAACAGCAATCCTATCTAGGAACTCTGCCTGAGTGCTTAGCAGCAATATTGCTCCATAAATTGATGGCTGTAAAACAGCTTCAAGGAAGCAGAAGATCTAATGAAGACCAACAGCAAAAACTGCACCAAACCAGGAAAAAACCCTAATTGGGTCCAAACCAACTCAAGCAATACAGGGAGATCAGCAAAAGGGAATGAAAAGGGGAGAGATAGAGAAAGGGAGTTCATGGGAAAAGGCAGCCTATCCCAATCTAGGGAGGTCAAATAAACCAAAGGGAAGACAGAATCCATTGCAAGGAAACAACGCAGGGCCTATGAGTAAGAAATGAAAAAGCTGCCAAATAAAGAGACCTTTCTTAATCATCTGGCAAGCCTCTCCCCACCCCCCACCCCCGCCACCCCATGTAATTAATGATTCAGAACAAAATAACTTTTGTTCTAATTTATTGAATACGGAGACAGACTTTAGTTTGTCTTTATTTAGTTGAGAAAGCTCCCGAACCGAAGTGGTTGGGGTAGCATCTAACACCTTTTTAATTACTAAGAGGTACATATTTTTCCTTCTTATTCACAATTAACATGCCCCGAGGATTCATCTTCTAAAGGGTAGGAATAATCACTTGAGCACAAGCCCAAAATTGGGCAGATTATAGTGCCAAAGCTATAATTTGGTTTCTAAATGATAGTAAACAACTTATACTACAATTTGTAGAATCTGCAATATGTATGTAATAATCTTCCCAGCATTTTCATTCTGATTGAATGTGATAGGATCTATTTTTAACAGAAAAAAAAACTCACCTTTGACAGAATTGAAACTGGTTTCTGAGAATTCTTCATTCAGGTCTATCAGCATCCCCTCAGATTTGCATCGTGAGAGGCAACTGGCATTAGCAGCACGAATCCTCTGGGCTGCCATTTTAAGATGGCAGTTGTGCTGTTTCTTAAGAAATCAGAAAATCTAATGGGTCATCTTCTCTAGAAGAGATGTGACAAATTCTGTGCCATTTATTTTCAATGGTTGCAATTACCAATGTCATTCAATAGCTTCTTCCACAATATATACCTGAAGAGAAAAACAAACATGAGAAGCTATATAACTACATTACAGAAATCTTATTTATTTGGCTTATATGCCTGCCCATCTTAAAAGATATAACTCTAGGAGGCCACAGCAATAAGCCCAAGAACAACAAAACGAAAAAAGGAGCACCTCTCCAATGCAACCAATATAATCAAGTTCAGGTTCCAGACTGATCCTATCCCAGTGTTTCAGGGGAAAGAATCTGCTATTTATGGTTTTCCAGAAGGCTAAATGGTTGGCAAAATGAGGGGTGCCTGATGTCTCGGGGAAGGACATAAAAGTCTATTTTCTGTAGATAGATACATTTAAGGAAAGGAATCTAGTGTGTGCCCGCTTTATCTGATCTGGTGGAACAGGTACCTTCAGGGAGAGGCAATCCCACAAATAACCTGGCCCAGTATCATATATTGCCTTTAATTATAATAACCAGTACTTTAAATTATACCTGATAAAAAATACTGGGAGCCAATGCAGATCACGTACCAGATGTGTAATATAGGCAAAATGAGGGGTGCCCAATACTGCAGGCGCCACTGCATTCTGGACCATTCTGGACCCCACCCCCGCCACAGCTATTACTTGCTCCCGAATACTGTTTTGGATCCAAGGCTAGCCACCTGTAATAACTACAACTTGAACCCAACAATCACATGCCATCTCCTGGAAGCCCTTGACTAACTAGGTGGGTCATGTTTTCTTTATAAACTAGCAAATCTATGAATTATGGGAAATTAATTAACAGACAAGATTTGTCAACTTTAAAAACTATCACAGATGATACATAAGCCCAGAACAGATTTCATTCATCAAAAAAAAAAAAAACCCTTTCATATAATAAATTCACAGCACTTATGGAAACTTTGGGTAGATATACAGTCATGCAAATGTAATGTTCAGACTTCAGTTTTTGATCACATAGATCTAGATTCATGTTGCTAGTCAGAAATTGCTATTCTTAAGTGAATTGGTAGTTTAGCTTATCCCATCTTCATGAAAAAAGGAAAAATGCAAACTTGATATAAGTCACAGTAACAAAAATAATCAACCCTACAATGTAGACCAGACTAAGCAACTATATCATATCGATTTAAAGCTAGCTTTATTAGAATAGCTACAATAACAATAATTAGGGAGGGCCCATTTGCGATGTTTTTTCAAGTTAATTTCTTAGAATGAATTTAAGCTAATCATTGGCTGGACTTGCCTGGTACTTGGTGATTTGGTAGCTACAGCTAACCCTCGAGTTGGTTAATAATGTAAGGGAGCCTGCCAATTACATTTTTAACCTGAGGGTTTGTTAATTGGAACATGTTGAATGAATGAGCTCCCATGCCTTCTCCTCCCCCCTCCCCATGCATTCGTAAAATGAATGTGCTGGTCATTAGGACCGTATATGGGGTGTCTCAGGAGTGCTTGCCTCTGCCTCCAGCCTCTGAAGCCACACCCACCCACACCACCGATGGCTCACTTACTTTTCCAAGCTCTCCAGGGACTGGGTTACAAAAAGGTTACTCCATTGTTGAACTACATGGCAGAGTTCCAGAAGAGGCTGGCTTTTTCTGAGACACTGTGAAATCTTCCTAAGACAATTCTGCCTTTTTAATATTTCCTAAAGTATTTCATTCTTCTAGGAGGGGTGGGTGCTAACTTTCTACACAACCTAGTCCCAAAGTTATGACTGTTGCAGCACTCTGATAGTCATTTTTCTCTTTACGACCAATTTCAGAGACGCCACAGCAATACCTCTGTACTTCTCCCACCCATCATTTCCCCCTCCTCTATCCCGCCCCATCGGTTCCTCACAGATACTGGGTCTGCTTTGGCAACCTACTGGCTTCCATATGCTCCCCTCGGCTTCTCCCCCTCCACCCTGACCACCGATGGCTCACTTACCTTTCCACAGGCTGGATTACGAAAGGAGAAGGCTGCTCCATTGCTGAGCCACATGTCAGTTTCAAAAGCGGCCAGCTTTGGGCAAAATCTTCCTGAGGCAATGCAGCAAGTTTGCCTTATTTCCGAGGCTTTTGTAGCTAAACTTTGGCAAAAAAAGAAGTCCTGCTTGTAAACGGAAATCTTCCTAAGGCAAGCTTATCAAGTCTGCCTTATTTCCAAGGCTTTCGCAGCTAAACTTCAGCAGTGGGGAGCAGCCAGTTCCCTCTTGTAAACTAAAATTCTTCCCCCCCACCACCAGCATTGACATAGCAGTCTCTTTCCCCTCCTCCATCCCAACAATAAAGGGCACAAAGTCTAAAGTGCGCAGTTTCTCCTGCAGTGATCAAAAACAAAGAAAAAGAAAGAAGGCTTCATGTTACAATGTATGCTAATTCTTTGCATGGTAAGGCAAACTTGCTGGCTCCCTTAAAGGTAGTTGTCACTGTTATGTTAATACTGGGGGGAAAAGAAGAGTTTCAGCTTACAAGAGGAAACTGCAGGCTCCTCGGTCCCACAAGGTCTGTTGGGGTTTTTTTTGGCCAAAGTTTAGCTGCAAAAGCCTTTGAAATAAGGCAGACTTGCTTTGTTTGCCTTAGGAAGACTTCCGTTTACAAGCAGGACTGCTTTTTTTGCCAATGTTTAACTGTGAAAGCCTTGGAAATAAGGCAAACTTGCTGCATTGCCTCAGGAAGATTTTGCCCAAAGCTGGCCGCTTTTGAAACTGACATGTGGCTCAGCAATGGAGCAGCCTTCTCCTTTCGTAATCCAGCCTGTGGAAAGGTAAGTGAGCCATCGGTGGTCAGGGTGGAGGGGGAGAAGCCGAGGGGAGCATATGGAAGCCAGTAGGTTGCCAAAGCAGACCCAGTATCTGTGAGGAACCGATGGGGCGGGATAGAGAAGGGGGAAATGATGGGTGGGAGAAGTACAGAGGTATTGCTGTGGCGTCTCTGAAATTGGTCATAAAGAGAAATGACTATCAGAGTGCTGCAACAGTCATAACTTTGGGACTAGGTTGTGTAGAAAGTTAGCACCCACCCCTCTTAGAAGAATGAAATACTTTAGGAAATATTAAAAAGGCAGAATATTATATTTCCCCTAAAAGAGAAATAGAAATTTTAAGGGAGCCAAAAACTCAGAGCTTCAGCAGATATTTGGTGCCCATTGAGAAGGACTGGGGCAGCTTATCTATAAAACAAAAGACCTTCAGCTCCAGGGTGATGGGATTAAGCCATGACCCTCCAGGGACATAATAGGATTATCAGCATTATCTTCAACTGCATTGTAAAATCACCTGGGGACATTGCATCACCCAGCAAGCTTCAAACAGACAACCTCAGCAATGACCCCTGCATAGCCCCATGGGAGTCTGACAGCAGCCAATAGAATACATATTCTTGCACCGGAACAGGAAGCTCAAGGGCAAGGCCCAAGAGTGGATATAAATAACCTCGCTCTCTACGCCATGTGGTCAGTTGCCCAGGATCTCAAACCCATGTGGTCCCGTTCATCAATAAACCATCTTTCCAATCAGCCTCCATGTTTTCAGTGTCTTCCTGCCCGCTTGGAATTGAACCAGATGGATATTTCTTCCAACAGTCGTAAGTCCTTTTGACAGTGTCATGGTAATACTGAATAGTCACCAAGTGAACTGTAATTCAGGAACAACCTGTATTCATCGACACGCCTTCTCAGACATTTCCTATGTCCTCCAAAGTTATATTGCCATATTGCCAAAATATGAACTAGCTTAATATTTCCTTAAAATATATTCAAGACATTGAAGTACAGATAGTCCTTGATTTTCAGTCACAATTGACCCTTTAGCAATGGAATTGCTAAGCAAGATAGTTGTTAAGTGAATATTGCCCCATTTATGATCTTTCTTTCCATATTTAAGTAAATCACTGCATTTGTTAAGTTAGTAACATGGTTAAGTTAATCTGGTTCTCCATTTGCTTGTCAGGATCGCAAAAGGTGATCACATGACCCCAGGACATTGCAACTATCATAAATACATGCCAGTTGCCAACAGTTTGAATTTTGATCAAGACCCAATGACAACACAAGGAAAAGTTGGCCGGCTCAAGGAGGACTTAGAGTCCGCCCAACAGGTAAAATACTAGAGGGGTATCAATGGACAATAAGAGTTGGAGATGCCTCCCTGGCCAGTATGCCGGCCAATAAGGAAAAGAGAAAGGTATTCCCATTCCGGAATGGACTCTGTTAGGGAGAATGTTGAAGTATTGGAAGTCAATGCCTTAAAAAGCATTTGGACAGAGGAAGAATGATACATTACATATATATATTTGACTTAAATATAAATTCAGAGACTTTATATGGCCTCCCTTCAGTAGCAATGATTTGGCTATAATACAAGACTTGAACATTTATATAAAAGAGACAAGGCAGGAACAGAAGAATCACATTATGCAGTTGCTTGGCTGGGACCACAAGGTAATCTGATGCAGGTATCCAAATAGGAATCCTTGGATAATCTTCCTCCATATCCTGACCCAAAACAGGAGGAAGATGACACTGTACCTAAAGGGTCCCAAATTGAGCCATCTTCACCAGAGAACCTACCAAGGGAAGCCAAAGAATTAGTCAAAAATAACTAGGATTTAGAGGAGGAGATGAAAAAGAGCATGGCCTTTTCCCTATAGCCACAAGACAACAGAAAAGAGGACAGTATGGGATATGTTGAAGCCACCCTTTGAAATCAGGCAATTTAAGAAAGAATTGCCTAAATTAATAGAAGATCCTATTGAAATGGGAAAGCAACTGGAAATGTTTTTAGGACCAATGGAATATTCACAGAGAGAAAAGCAACATATTTTTAACAAGTTGTCTACACCAGAGGATAATGGCATGATTAGACAGGCTGCCAGAACATAGTGTTAAGAAGAGGTTTCCCCAAAGGGATGAAACAGTAGAAGTCCCAGATGTAGACCTTAAGTGGGATGGTAAGGACAGGAAGGCTATGGCAGACTATGGAGAATGTTAAAATAGCAGTGCCCCAAAGTCTGAATATCCAGGAGGCTTTGGCTTTAGAACAAGGGAAGGAAGAAATGCCAACTGAATGATTAGACAGGTTAAAGAATCAACTACAAAAAGATGAACAAATGGACCTTGACAATCCAGGGTGCCAGATGATTTTGAAGTATCAATTTGTGGGGAAAGCATGGGAGGACATTGTGCTGCAGAAATTGGATGGATGGGAGACCAAAACTACAGAGGATCTCCTCAGAGGCCCAAAAAGAATACTCCAAGCAATAAGACAAAATGATGTCTCAATTGGTTCAGACTAGCCAATGAGGGAGAGGCAACATATCACAAATATCTCAGGAACCAAGACAATACAGGATAGGCCAAGGAAGGGCTTGGCCATTTGGAACCCAGGGATACCAGCCACTAGGGAAGGGAGCCTGTCACTCCATGGTTAGGATGGGATCAATCTGCCATCTGTAAAGAAAAGGGCATTAGAAAAATGAATGCCTAAGAAAGGAGGAACAACAACCAGCTAATTTGATCAATTTTGAGGATTAGGGTTGTCAGGAGATGCACTTGTCCAATTTTTCAAGAACCCCTGGATAAAACAAAGTTGGACCACTGGAGGAAGAAATAGTATTCCTGGTGAATTCCGGAGCTACCCTGAACAATATACCTCCAGAAATGCAAATTGGGGAAGGGAAGATTAAGGCTGAGGGAATTGGGAGACAGGTAATAGAAGCACCAATATTTAAATCCACTATGGTCCAGTCTGTAGCAAAAGGACTTGGAGTTTGGTGCGATTTCATGTTAGTCAAGAGCTGTAATTTGGCAGGGAGGGATTTGATTGCTGTACAGGGGTTAATGATCGCTGGGGCGGAAGAAGGATTCATTGTAAATATTATGAAATTGAGTCAAGAAGCTGAGGAGAAAGTGGATTCTTTTATATGGGCCGTAGAGGGCAACAGAGGAGGGGTACACACGAATTTCTTAAAAAGAAATCCAAGAAGAAACCAACATGACTGTACAAAGATCTCTCTGACATATTGAAAGACAAAGAGTACAAAAAATGGAAAGAGGGACATATAACTAAGGCAGAATATCAGCAGACAGACAGAATCTGCAAAGACAAACTCAGGAAAGCAAAGGCTCAGAATGAACAAAGACTTGCAACAAAAGTCAAAGATAATTTTAAAAAGTTTCTTCCAACATATAAAGAACGAGAAAAAAAATCAAGGAAATAGTCTGTTCACGAAAGAGAGAAGACAGCAAAGAAGTAACAGGAAACAGAGACAAAGCAGAGCTGCTTAACTCATTCTTTGCATCGGTCTTCACACAAAAAGAAACTATAGCCCAACCTACTAAAAGCACACCTGTAAAAGACAGACTAGAAATAAAAGTTAAAATAAGCAAAAAAATGATAACAGAACATCTGTCTGGTCTTGATGAAAATAAATCACCGCGACTTGACAGATTACACCCTAGAGTTCTAAAGGGGTTGGCAGATGTCATTTCAGAACCATTGTATAACATCTTTCAAAAATCCTGGAACTACCAAGGACTAGAAAAGAGCTAATGTGATTCCCATCTTCAAAAAGTGGGGGGGTGGGGGGGAATAGACCCTGCAAACTACAGACCAATCAGCCTAACATCAATACCTAGGAAGATACTGGAAAAAGATAATTAAAAAACTAATCTGTGAACATCTAGAAATGAGTAAAGTAATAACTAGGAAGACAGGTTTGTTAAAAACAGACCATGCCAAACCAATCTTATTTCATTCTTCAACATAGTGACCACTACATTCAACAAAGCAGACCACAGTCTACTTCTTGGTAAGCTAGAAAAAATTGGGATAGATAACATCACCACGCAATGGATTTGTAACTGGCTGACAAACCGTACTCAATGAGTAGTCCTTAATGGTACTATGTCTACATGGACAGAAATAAGCAGTGGGATACCACAAGGTTCTGTTTAGGCCCAGTACACTTGAAAATCTTGGGGAGGGAATAGAAGGGGAACTTACCAAATTTTCAGATGATACAAAACTGGCAGGAATAGCCAA